CATGTGTAAGTGCCTGAGCGTGGCTGTGTTCCTATGAAGCCTTATTTATGGACACAGATTTGAATTTCATATAATTTTTACGTTACAAAATATCATATTTCCTTTTATTTGTTTTAACCATTTAAAAATGTAAATTCTTATTGTTCACAATAAACTAAGATGTGGAAGCCATCTAGAGGTCCATCGACAGATGAATAGTTTGAAAAATTCTGGTCTATACACACAGTGGAATATTATTCAGCCCTGAAAAGGAAATCCTGTCACACGATACCACATGGATGAACCTTGAGGACATTATGCTAAATGAAATAAGCCAAAGGGATAAATGCTGTGCGATTTCATTTATAGGAGGTGTCTGAGGCGGTCAAATTCACAGAAACATAAAACACAATCCTAGCCCTAGGTGTTTGCCAGGGCTAGGAGAAGGGGTGACAGGGAGCTGGGTTTAAGGGGTACAGAATTTCAGTTCTGCGAGATGAAAAAATTACACAGATCAGTTGCACAAAAACAATGTGACTATACTTAACACGATACTGTACCATATACTTAAAGAGATTAAGATGGTAAATTTCATGTTATATGTTTTACCACAATTAAACACTGTTTTGTAAAGAAGGAAAAATCAACTTTTCTTCCATTGAAAGTCACATAGGAACAGGCGGGCAGCCTCCTGGGCTGTAGTTTGTCCACCCCGGCCTCCAGGTGACTAGCCCGAGGGCAAAAATGATGGACCAACTGGACGCTTCTCAAATGTGCCCACTGAAAGACCTCTAACAGCACAAAACGGAGAACAAAAGCTCCCGCAGGGTCTGACTGCAAGTCTGTAAATTTCTTTTAAATACTCTCGCAAGAGAAGTTCAGGGAAGTTTTTGAATCCTAGTCCATAACATATTGTTTTAATGTAAAACTGGCATTCACTGTAAAAAGTCAGTAAAAACTGAAGCTGAGGCTCCCAGAGGGTGAGCGACGTAGTCAAGGTCGCAGCTAGAACAAGTCTGCATGGGACGGGCTGGTGCATCCTTCCCGCCAGAGTGGGCTACCTTCCCGTTGGGCTTTGGCTACCCCTCCCCTCTCGTACCCATATCCATATCCCCTCAATATTGAGGCCATTCTCAAAGTAAGTAATGATGGCAAACCACTTTTGAATTTCTACAGAAACTCATCCATTCATAAATTTAATGCCATCAATTCGTGTGTCCTATATTACTTGCTCTACTATGTTCTAGGTTATTTTAGTGTGATAGATTTTAAAATTCATTTTTCCCCCTGCCCCATCTAATCATGCCTTCCCATCCATCTATACTATTGTTGTTATTTTTTACCTTTTATAGTGCCCTAGTGACTAATGTTATCAATTGTGGAACATTCTGTTATCAGGGACCTGAGATGTGTTGTTCTGTGTACTCAGCATCCGTGTCCTCTTGGGGTAGGTTGTATTATTTGTTCAGAACTCTCCTCTCCCTCCCTGTCCTTTTCCCTGTCCTTGACTTTAGACTTGGCCATGCGCTTGCTCTCCTCAACAGATTGTGAGTCAAACTGAACATGTGTTAGCCCTAAGCAGAAGTGTTAAGAGGTATCGTGTGTCTCCTCCACTCACTTCTTTTGAGTTCCTGCTGTCCCTCCAGGTTCTCCTGGAGAACCAGCCACCCCAAGTTCAGTCTGGGTCCCAGAATGAGAAAAAGAATGAAGCGGACCTGAATCCAGCCAACCCAGACCCATTTGTGGCTGGAAGCCAGTGAGTGAGTGCTGGTGTTGTTTGTTACATAGTGTTATCCCAGCAAAAGCGAATACATCCTTTCTTTTGGAACCGGGGCTTTGATTTTCTTCTGGAGACCCAGCCCTTCCCCACTCTTTGCCCACAGAGTCCAGTTGGGCTGACCATCCCCTACCCTCCCCCAAGCACCTGGCTCCAGCATAGCACACTGACTTCAACCTCCGGCACGGTCCCTGCTGCTCTTGCCAAAGCTGAGACAGACTCACTCTCTCTTGGCCAGCAGAAGTGAATGGCCCTGGGCTGTGTCACCTGCTGTAAAAGGCTCGTAAGGAAATTTGACTAGTAACCCGTACAATCCGAACTTCTGACTGTTTTACAACCCAGGGACAGAAAGAGAAGTGTGAATCACAGCATACTAAATGCCACAGCTCTTGGCTGCTCTGGGGTAGAGAGAAGGAAAGCATGGAACATACATAGAAGGTGTTATGGACTGAATGTTTGTGCCCCTCCAAAATTTACATCGAAGCCCTGACCCCCACACGGGGGTTAGGAAGTTGAGGACTTTGGAAGGTGATTGTGTTTGATGAGGTCATGAGGGTGGGGCTCTCATAATGAGATTAGCGCCCTTCTCCTCTCTCTCCACCCACAGGTGCACACTGAGGAAAGCCTGGGTGGGGGACAGAGTGAGAGGTGGCCGTCTGCAAGCCAGGAAGAGGGACCTTAAGAATCAGATTTGCTGGTACCTTGACCCTAGGCTTCACAACCTCCAAAATTGTGGAAAAAAAAAATCTGTTGTCTTCACTACTCAGTCTGCGGTATTTTTTCTAGCAGCCGAAGCTGAGACAGTGGTTTTCTCTTAGGCAGCAACAGCGAGAGGCTGCAGGCACCTAAAGGTAAAAGTGATTACCTTGCCTTTAGGAAGAGAAGAGTCAGGGCTCTGAATCGCTCATTCATTGGAAGGGCTGGTGCGGACAATCCGAAACAGAGGTTTTCAGCATTTTTCATCGCTCATGGCACACACAAGCTAATTACTAAAGTTCTGCGGCACACCAAAAGTACGTTTTTGACGATCTCGCAGGCATAGGTGCACTTCTGATGTGTTCACAGCAGACGGCCATTGCTGTGTTGGCCGTTGTCATCTTTGAAACTGACAATCTCAGTTAAAAAGAGGTCAGCGTCCCTGACTGAACAGTCAGGTATTGCATGTTTTAAGAATCCCCGTGACATACCAGCGTGCCTGTTGTGGCACATCGGTGGAAAGTCACTGATGTAAAACACGGGGAACACGGGAGTTCTTCGAATGGTCTGGGAAGGGGGAAGGCCGCCTGTAAGTGTCTCAGAAGGTGCTTCAGACCAGGAGGCATTTCCTCCAAACAATTAGACGGCCTGACCAAAAATAACAACAACAACAGCAAAAACCTTGTACATCTTAGTAGTCTACAAAGATTTGTGAAAAAATATAATAAAAAGCACGAAAGCCACCGTTTAACTTATGTTTGGCTTTGCCATGTACTTTTCAAAATAAAGCAACGTGGTGTTCATTGTGTGTGTGAGGTATTTTTTTTCTCCTGGATAAGGGTAATAAAATAAGTTTACATTCTCCCAGTTCACACAGCCAGGTGGATGAGGAGGGACACGGAGTGAACTCTGCTGAGAGACCAGAGAAGCCGACCGGGGATTAAAACGATAATCCCTCAAGTGGAAAATGAGCTGTGAAAAATCAGGGGCTGGTCAACAGCCCTCTGCCTCATATCTTATCTTCTCCAGCTCTACTCTCCTACCTGGTCCCACCCCACACCCTCAGGTTTTCTCAACCCCCTGAGAGGGCTGGTGGGCCTTGTCACACCTCTCAGTGAATTATTCACGCCTACCAGGAAGCAAACGTCCTGAACTGGACTGTCTTCTGAATCAGGTGGTCTGACTTGAGCGGGGGTTGGGGAGCTGGTACTTACTAGATACAACCAATACAATACAACCCTGGCCTTTAAAGGCCCCCAGTTGGCTAAACAAATACTCTTTCTGAAAGATTACAAAGATAAACAAATAAGTGGATAAAGTCTTAGAATGGGGTCTTTTAAAAAGGGCTCACGCCTTGCCCCCAGGGAATCGGACTTAATTGGCTTGGGTTGTGTGGGGAGATCAGTAGTTTTCAAAACACACCCTGGGAGGTCCTCAAGTTCGCCCCGCTGAAAAAGGTCCCCAGACGTACCGAATCAGGAACACTGGAGGTCGAGGCTGGGCAACCAGTGTTTTAACGAGCCACCCCATCCCCCGACTTCCCAACCCTGGGATGCTGTGGTGCACGCTCAAGTCTGAGAGCCATTGTTCCGAGCTTAGAAATGGAGAGCCCAGGAAGGTGAGTAGTTGGAATTGGAGCACAGGGCTTGGGGTTAGGGACTCTCTCAGGGGCACCCTTCTCCTTCCTCTCAGCCTCAGGGCGGTGGGTAAACTCGTCTGTCAGAGCTGGGCCTGAACCCTCTAGGGTAGGCGGTCCCTGAAGGATATTGCGGTGTAGAGTCAGTTTTGGGACCACAAGAACCTCCCTCCAAAGCCTCAGTCAGTCGGCCCCTTGGTCGCCGCTCAGTTCCCTACGGAGCTCCTCGGCGGCCAGGAAAGGGTTGGCCTGTGGTAGGCCATAGTGAGCGGCCAAAAAGGTCTCTTCCTGGAAAATCCTGGCTTCCAGTTGAAGGCTTCTCATCCTTTTCCCCAAAGTGGGCCCCCTACTCTGAGCGCTGGCTTTAAAAACAAAACAAAACAAAAAAAATCCCAGACAGGAACTGTGTCCATCCCCAAAAACCGTGTCTCCTTTTCTGCACGCCCACCATCTATGTACTCACCCTAAGCAATCGCGCCCCCGCCCACGTTAAAAGCAGCCCTTTTCCCAGAGCATCCAAACGCTGAACCCCACTCCTGACGCCCACCCCCCACCCCTGCAGCACAATTCCTTCATCCCAGCGGTCAGAAAACAGCAAGTTCAGCGGCCTCCCCACTTCGGGCCTCCCCACCTAGGCCAACTGGGCAAGGCCCGATCCCGCTACAGTGCCCAGCGCAGTCCCCAGCGCAGGGACCCCTGGGGAAGGGGAGGGACCCCCGGTTCGGCCGCAACCGAGGGTCGTCGCCCCAGCGCATCCGGGACGGCGTCCTTGGGTTTCTGGCCCAGTTGCACCCCCGCCCCCCGTGGGGAGGGGCTGCGGCCGCCGGGAGACGCTCAGGGTCTGGTGGCTCCTCCCCTGGGGTGGCCGAGCAGGAAGCGGGGCGCGCGGCGGGCGGGGGCGCGGGGGCGCGCGGCGCGGTGCGGACGGGCGCGCGGGGCGAGGCGGCGGAGTATGCGCGGGCCTGGGCGGCCAGCCCCGGCGCACAGCCGCGGCCGGGGCGCGCGGCGCGGGGCGGAAAAGCCTGTTTACACAGACTGCACACCGCCTGGGGAATAATGCAGTAAAGGAAGTGAGCCGGCTCGGCCTGACTGCTCCAACTTCCTGCTCTCACACACACCAGAGGGGAAAAAAAAAGAGGAGTGAGAGAAAGAAAAAAAGGGGGGAAAAATCAGGATCTCATTACAAGAGCAACAGACCGTCTGCAGACGCCTGTCAGCATGGAAAGTCGGGGGCTTTCGCCCGGTTCCTCCTAGAAATTCCCTCGAAGAAGGATCTTGAAAGCTCCCCCACATCTGGGTAGGTAGCAGGGCTTCTGCCTGTTGCTGGGACAGTTGCAAAGTTTCGTTGGGGGTGTTTTTTCTTTCTTTGGCTTGGTGGGGGTTGGGCGGTGGGCGCCGTGGGGTGGGCTGCGGGCCGGCTTTTGGGGGGGGGGCGGCGGCCGCCGGGAGGGGGCTCAGCCGGGATGCTCCTGCGCCCGTGCCGCCGCCCACCCATCCGGAGCTCCGCGCCGGTCCTCGCGCCCAGCCCCGGGCTGCGGCGACCCTGCGCTGGCGTCACCCGGCCCTGGGGCTGAGCTGAGAGCCCAGAGGAGGGGTGCGCTCATGCAGTAGGGGGACGGTGAGACCTGGGGACCTTGGGAGGAGCAGTGACTGGAGCAGGCTGAGTGACTACTGGACCACCGTTGACCTGCCAGGCGGGGCGCCCCGCGGGGTGGCGGTGGGCACCGATGCTCGGAGTCTGGGAGACTGGGGTGGAGAGGGCGGCGGAGGGCGTGCGGAGCTGAGACGCTAGGCTGGGGGCTGCGGCCACTCGCTCGGCAGGTGACCCCCGCCAGGGTCACAGCCCCAGGCGCACGCCCAGCCGGACCTTTAAAAGCCAGCGGAGTCCTTACTAAACACTGATTTGGAGGACAGGGCAGTGGGCAGTGGGAGGTTTTGTCGCCCCCCCCCCCCAGCTCTTTAGGAAAGGGGCTCCTCAGCTGCCGACCGAGTGTGGGCCTGTAGTGCTACTGTAACTTTTTGGGGAGGGGGAAAAATAAAAATTTTAGAGAGTTAAAAAAGAAAAATAAGAGGTCTTGGTTATCTGCTTTCAGAACTGAATCATCCTGAGGACAAGCTGCAGTAAGGCGGCGGGTGGGGGTGGGAGCAAGAAATGTTATTTCAGAAACTGCAAAAGGGGCTTTTTCGAAAAAAAAAAAAATAAAACGAGTGTCGGGAGAGTTTCTGGCTTGTCTGGAAACTGCAAGACTAATTGCCATGCGCTTCCGCTTTGAAACTGGCAGCAGACAGCATCTTGAAAATGACTCACTGGAGGAGCTCACAAAGAAACTGTGGTTTGCTCCTTCTCAGGTTTATGTATTTGTGCCTTTTACAGTTTCCTTTGTAGTGTTGGAGCGGTCCCCCGCCCCTCTCCCGCCGGCCCCCTCCCACCCTCCCGCTTTTGAAAGCCCCTGGCCGGTCTTTAACTCCCCCGAGCACCCCAGCCGGGAGAGGGGGTTTGGGGGGAGGCTGAGTTGTTTTTGGAGTTGGCTGGGAAGAGGGTTAAAGGGATTCTGCTGCTGCAGGGGGAAAAAGTTCCCTGAATTTTCCACTGGCTGCTGCAGGAAGAGAGAGCCCCTTTAGTCATTGCTAAGTAATGTCTGCACACACACCAACTAATCTCATTAGGAGTTTCCGCTGCTCCGCACAGGAGGGGTTTTGTGCAGCCACCGTCAGCCAGGCGAGCCCTGCGCTGGAGAGGGAGACAAGTTACGGCTTTATTTGCTTGGAGGTGCAGCCGCCAGCCGAACCCTTTCAGGGTTGCATCTTTGCAAACTTTGGAGTCACTTTGGATTTCGGACTTACAGGTTTTTCTTTGCCAGTTGTGGATGTGAAGTTTCTATTGCCTAAGCCGCTCCACACGCCCATCCTCTCGCGTCTGTGCTTCAGTCTTTGTTTGGGGGGGGGGGGGGAGGAGGTGGAAGAGATGGGAAACCAAGCATGTTCCAGGCATCTTATTAATGAGCTCAAATCGGTTACTGAGCCTCATTGCCTTCTTGCCAAACAAAATACCCTCTGATCTCTCTCCCTTTCTCTTCTCTTTCTCTCTCTCTGTGACACATTCATTTGGGAAAGGTCAGTTATGAGTTTCAATTTATGGGGATTATAAAATACAAATTGTGTTAGGAGGGCACGTGGGTCATACGGTTAAGAAGACTGTCCATAAGTGTTTTGAGAGTTTCCAGTAATAGTCTTGTCCTGCCTGCATAAACCCCTGATGGTCTTTCTATGCCAAATATAGCCAGGGCCTTCTGGCCGTTTCTTTTTTCTCCCTTTTAAACCTTTATATGATGGAAATGTATAGAGCTACTGAAAAGGGTAAAGAACTTGAAGGGACCCAGTTGGAACTGTAGGGCTCCTTTATTGCCAAGGCCATGCTGCTGTCTTGAGGGTTTCTAAGGTATTGGCCCCCCTTTTTTTTAAGTGTGGCAAAGCATGTCCTAAAAACAGCTCTATGAGTCCGACCAGGTAGTGAGTCATTAGGCATCAGTGTAGGGTGTCCCTGACACTGTGCCTGGCACAGAGTAGATGCTCAGTAAGTTGTTGCTTTGAAAGCTGTGAGTAGGACTCACGATAAATAGATAAGGGGAAAAAAGCTTTGCAAAGTGTACCTCATTCCGCATGAGCATTTCTTAAGGATGGAGGTTGTGAATATTCTCTCCAGACTCCACTTCCTTCAAAATACAAAGGAGGTAATTAGAAGTCTTCATTACAATACATTATTATTTGGATAGTTATCACCTGGGAGTAACTTTGCCTCTCAGGGGGCATTTGACAGTATCTGGAGACATTTTGGTTGTCCTACCAGAGGGGGTGCTGTTGGCCTCTAGTGGACAGAGGTCAGGGGTGCTGGTACACATCCAACAATGTACAGGGCAGCCCCCCCCCAAAGCATTTTTCAGCCCAAATTGTCAGTGGTGCCCAGCCTGAGCAACTCTTGTGTGCATTAGTGATGATGATAATTCTCTTCCATGCATTCACTCAATGAAGAGGACATTTAAAACTCATTAGCTGCACTTTTTGGCCACCTGTGTGATGCTATGCATGAGTTTTCTCTCTCCTCTTCTCTTTCTTTCTGGTCAGTCGTGTGCAGTAGCATGTCATGCAAGTGAACACTTGGTGGTGTGCCTTTGTGACCTGCATTAGACCATCTCTGAACCTCACGTGGTACTAAAAATGCTTTTTGGACCAGAGTGGCAGATAGGAGAGAGCAGTGATTTTTTTTTTTCAGCTTCATTTGAAACTTGATGTTTCCTAAACATTTACTCAAGACATCTCTTTCTCTTATTTAAAAAAGTTAATAATTCAAAACCGGTAGCATACAGTAAAGGTAACTCTGAGATCATATATTGAAATTTATATTTGTAATAACTTTTTGGAACTTGGATATTTTCCTGAAATTGATTTTAAAGGACTTCCAGGCAGTGCATATAAATTGAAAATATTCCTTTCTTAGCTGTCCGATACTGAGTTTTCTGTGTTGCCCAATTATATGTATAGATCTGATTCAGAAACCAGTATGGTTGCAAAGCATCACCTATTGACAGACCCAGAACACTTAAAAAATAAATCCAAGGTTGTGACCTCCTGGAATAGAGTTTTCCCCCCCACTAATGGTGAGTTACTGCTTACTAAGTAATAGCTTCGCTCCTTTGCAGTCCCAGAGAAGGATGCATCCATCTCCAAGTTTCCCAGACCTGAGTTCCTCATTAAACCTTAAAAGAAGTCGGTTCTCTGTCCCTCTGGCTGTGCCCTAGCTGCAAGCATCTGGCTTCTGTCCCTTCCCAAGGGGCTGCACCTACACATATGCGGGAGTAGCCCAGGTGATTCGAATGAAGGGCCCCCCTCCCGTCAGATTTCTCTGTACGTGTCAGGCAGGAGTTTTCTCTTGAATTTTGTTATGTCCTAGTTATCCATCATTTCTCTTTGCCTTCATAGATTGAATTGCAATACATTGGAGGTCACACTAGCATCACAAAATTTGCTGAAGGTTAGTTGGGTTTTTTTTTCTGTTATAAAGATATTAATGCGCATTACCTTAGGACGACTTAGAAAACCACAAAGAAAAAAAAAAGAAGAACATCTTTCATAATCCCACTGTTACCATTTGGTGTGTGTTGTTCTGGTTTGTTACAATGTGTGTGTGTGTACCCACACACACACTCTGCATGTGCACACAGGTAACGTTTTAAATTGGAATCACACCATGCTTTCTGCTTTGTAACTTAATTTCACTTAACATATCAGGCACCATTTCAATCACCAGTACGAAGACCAGAATGACCACACAGAGAGCTTGTATTTATTTATTGATCTAATAAATGTGTTGACTCAACAGCAGATTGGCAGGATTTTGATGTGGACTTGTTCAGTGTTGTTGCCTGTGTGGATGCAAGTAATGTTCCAAGAATGCTGCCCTCTTGAAAGACTGAATTCATATGTGGTATGAAATTTGGGATTTTGATGAGTTCCTCTATGATTTAAGAATGAGTCATGATTTGCAAGAGAATATCAAGATGTAGTAACAGGAAGTCCAGGGCACTACACATCAAAATAGAATGTTCAGTGATGAAAAAAGAGAAACTAGGCTAAACCAGAAACACACCTTGAACTTAATCTACAGGAGGGAGGAAGGTGCCTGTTGCACACTCGGCAAGTCTTTGTTTAGTACTGTTTCACTTTAGATCAGTAGTTTTCAAACTTTGAAACGGGTGTGTTAAGTGGATTTTCAGCTCAAGGTCGCGATTACCCGTGGCCAGTGAGGTCTGAGATCAGCCAACCTGGGGTCTGCAACCATGGCAGTGAGATTGTGAGCACTTGGGTTTGCAGCCCCAGAAAACTGAGTTGTTAGTGTGTGTGTGTGTCTTCTGCTAACAAATCCTAAAGTTTGCCTTCAAAAATGGTGGACCATTTTGTCTTTGAAGTAATATTCTGTGCAGAAATTTGACTCCCCGGGATTCCTCTCCACACCAAAATAAAAATGGCCTTTCATCCATTACCGGAAACGTACATGTATGTCGGCAGTTTAAAAATACACTTTCAGTGGGTCGTTTCAATACATTGGAATTTGGTCTGAATTGCTAATAGGAATTTGCTCATTGACTGCTTTATGTTTCATTTTCTAGGAAGTAATCGTTAAATTATCGTAAGAATCGAATAGGACTATTTGATAACGTGGCTGTGAGATTTATCTGTTTATTTTTAAAGAAATTATGGTGGCGGTTGTACTCACGTAGTCTAATTTGAATTGGACGGAAA